TGAGTGCAGTGGCGCGATCTCGGCTTACTGCAAGCTCCGCCTCCCGGGTTCACGCCATTCTCCTGCCTCAGCCTCCCGAGTGGCTGGGACTACAGGCGCCCGCCACCACGCCCGGCTAATTTTTGCATTTTTAGTAGAGAAGGGGTTTCATCGTGTTAGCCAGGATGGTCTCGATCTCCTGACCTCGTGATCCGCCCGCCTTGGCCTCCCAAAGTGCTGGGGTTACAGGCGTGAACCACTGCGCCCGGCCTGAATTGGAGATCTTAAATTAGATGTGATCCTTTTAAAATCTTAGTCCCTGTCTGCTGTAATGAAAGACGCATAATGGAGATAGACTTCCTCAAAGCAGTCTCTTAATACAGTTGGAAGAAAACTGTAATTGACCTAGGACTATGAAGAGGAAAGGAAAAATATGATGAAATGAACAAAAAATAAATAGTGAGAAGCAATGAATTTAACTAGATAAGCCAAAATCGGGCCTCATTTGTCTCAGGAAAAGCCTTTGGGGCACATACGAAATCAGTCAACAGGTCTGGGAATGTTAACGTTAACTTAGGCTAAAATTATGTTTTCAGTTTTCTTCAATGAGTAATAGGAGGAAAATAGTTCCTTTAAATACATTAAACCTAAAAAAATTTTTCACGACAAAAACTACGTGCATAGAGTTCTGCACCTGTCTTCGATGTCCCTCCACTGGGCTCATGTTTTTGTAACTCCTAGATATTTGTAAATGTGGAAGATAAGCTGAAACAATCTGGAATGTGGTGCTTTCTCAGCCATAATATTTGGCTCTGGAAAAATTGATGAACTTTTCTGCTCCTCAAGAAAAAAACAAACAACAAAAAAAAAAAAACCCCTATATCAGACAACTAGGAATCAAGCGAAAAAATGAAGTGAAAAATGTATTATAAGTTATAAATAAATGTGAAAAATCTAGCAATAATCATAGTTGCTCTTGTATTCTTAAAAAGCTAGGTGCAATTTAAATGTTTGGAGTCATATTCTACTTGAGATGAGATAGAAGACTGTGGATATCTGATGCTTCTTTTGTATTAGAAATGCAGTCCTTAGTGTTTCAACGTTTAAAATCTGGGTGAGGCAGGCCAGGCATGGTGGCCTTTGGGAGCCTGAGGTGGGCAGATCACCTGAGGTTGGGAGTTCAAGAACAGCCTGACCAACATGGAGAAACCCCATCTCTACTAAAAAAAATACAAAATTAGCTGGGCATGGTGGCGCTTGCCTGTAATCCTAGCTACTTGGGAGACTGAGGCAGGAGAATCACTTGAACCCAGGAGGTGGATGTTGGAGTGAGCTGAGATCACGCCATTGCTCTCCAGCCTGGGCAACAAGAGCAAAGCTCTGTCTCAAAAAAAAAAAAAAAAAATGGGTGATGCAAATACCATATTTATTGAAAACTAAGTTTAAGCTAATTATTCATCTCTAAATGCTGACAGGAAGGTGCTTGTGTTCCTCGGATGATCCACCTCACCTGTTCTTGCTGCCTAGGTTTATTGTGGTCTGTGGAAACATCACCGTGGACAGTGTGACCGCTTTCCTGAGGAATTTCCTCCGTCGCAAGTCAGGAGAGATCAATACCGAAATTGTTTTCCTGGGAGAGTAAGTATATCTGTATGGCTCATGGGTTCTAAATGAATACTTAAAATATGAGTGAATATTTTTAATGCAAGAAAATCACCTTCACAATATTTATAGAAAAATTAGATATTGATCATAGACAAAACAAAAAAGAAATCTTTGACCACGCTAATCTCTGCAAATATTTTGGAATATATCTTGTCAGATGTTTTTCTGCGTAGGTACTAATATGATTTAAGTGATTACTATTTGACATTTAGGTTACACTACACATTATTATCATATATGACTGTAATCTTATGCAAAAGCCTGGTGCACTTGGTAACTATTATTCTGTTAATTCTGAGAATTAGAAATGTGAAGTTCAAATCAATACAGAAATGATTGTTCTTGATGCCGTTTTTGTCCTATGCAGTCTATCTTTCCACTAGCAGAGCCTAAGTCAAATATTTTGTCGAGCACTGGGAAATACATATTTAGTACAGAAAGATTTTAAGCATAGCTTAGGTATACAAAATGATTTCTTATATTTTAATTTTATAATTTTCAATTTGGTAAGATTGACTAATTTTCTATGTTTTGATTGTTGGCTTTTCTTTTTGAAATTTTTCTGTCTTTCATCCCCTCCTATTAGGTGGATTGATTACCTGTTGCTTTACTGACTTTTCTACTCAATATATGTTGATACTGGTCATTTTGTGTTACATGTTATACATGTTTTTCTTCCTACTTTCACCTTTTAATTTTTTTCGTACTTTTATTTTCATACAGAAGTGTTTGAATGCATGCACTCCAGTCAGCTCATTCTTTTAGTGTTTAAGATCCGTGGAATTGTTTTGCCTGATGTGTAGAGAATTAACTTCTTTATTTTTCTCAAATGATTCATCAGTTACACAAATATCATTCACTAAATAAGTCAGCCAGATTTTGAAATGACATTTTGATCTTACGTGGGATTGTATATAGCATCGCCTCTATCTCTGGGCACTGTGTAGTTGAGCACTCTGCTTTTACATTATGACATGTTCAATTCACCATAAATCTGGGCCCTCATATATGGAATAACCGATAGCAGTTTGAAGCACTCTGCGATGTTACTGACAGCCAAGAATTTTGTTTAAGTAGCATCACCGTGTCCATCTTTCTAGCAATTTGTGCATTATTTAAATCTTTTGTTAGAAAATAGTAGAAACAAAGAGTACTAAAACTAGGGATTAAAAGCTAATTATTATGATCCAGTTGAGATAGAGAGGAAATCAATAGATGTGTGACATGTTTTACCTGCCGCTGCATTTTTATGGACTAATGTGCGTTGTTGTGTGTACTTCCCAAGATAATGAATAATATTTTTTAATGGAGAAAAATGTGGAAAGTATCTATATAGAATTTTGTTAATTTCGTCTGTACTCCGATGACTCCAAAAATTTACATCTTCCCTTAGACATTCTCTGTGGCTTTGTATTTACACAACTAATTGCCTCCTGGATATTTTTAACTTAGTGTTATGAAGCCCCTCAAGCTCAACATTCTCAAAAGTGAACTCATGATCTTGTGTTCTCCTTTCCAACTCAAAGGCAAACAAACAAAAATAAAAGAAGGAAAGCAAACAACATTTTGTATCCTAGTGAATGAGACCTGATTAATATACTTCCTTAAAACAGAAAACTGAGTATTATCTCTGATACTCCTGTTCCCCTCAATCTCTATATACGTTTTCATCAATACCATTAATTTTGTCTCACATGTAAATACTAATTCTATTTCTACCATTTCTTCTCCATTATCACAACCCTATTCATAGTTAAATCTTGTCTTCCCAAAATTTCTCTAAAGGCCACTTTATTTGTTTGTTCTTTGTGCTCCAAAGCTCTTCTTCTCCCTTTATATGACCAATTTATTCCCATCCTTCCCACTCAGAGAGACAGTCCCTGTCCATTCTGTCTAAATTGGTGTCCTCTAATTTCCTTCTATCTCATTACTCTGTTTTATTTCCTTTAAAACAATTATCACAATCTATAAAACACAGCTGTTAACATTTCTTTCTTTTATGATATACTCCTGCCCCTTCTCCCATTTAAATGTGAATTCTCTTTCTTCTTCCTTTGAATCTGGGCTGACTTGTGGCTTAATTTGATAAATAGAACACAGAAGATGTGATACTTTGCTACTTCAGGCCTAGCATTTAGGAGGATTGACAGTTCCAGCTTCCACTTGGAGCCCTGAGTCATCATGTAAAAAGCCATACTACCTTGCTGGAGAGAAGACCCAGTCAGCTGTCAGCTACTCTAGTCATATAGCTAAAGCAACAATCGTGTATATAGCCACTTTGGACATTCCAGCTCCCTGTGAAACTCCTGGATGAATGTACCTATGTGGAAGCCGCTAGTCAACAATGCATGGAACACAACAATCTGGCTAGAGACACAACAAAAAAAGAGAATTTTAGACCAATATCCCTGATGAACATCAATGCAAATTCCTCAATAAAATACTGGCAAACCAAATTCAGCAGCACATCTAAAAGCTTATGGACCATGATCAAGTGGGCTTCATCCCTGGGATGTAAGGCTGGTTCAA